TGCAGTTATATTCCTTGGGAGACACTATAGTACTCAAAGTGTAATTTTTTTGTCAAAATCTCGTAATGGCCGGAGGGAAGCTTCACCAAATTCAGAAAGAATACGCATTCTTGATTAGCGTCGAATTCGAAATGAAACTAAGCATCTTCGTTTGTTCATCTGCCTATCCGTCTGTCGGCCCCTCTGTGGCGTATTTCTGGTAAACATTCTCGCTTCGAAAAAATGAAGATATCGCCACGAATTTGCAAAAGGACTTGAATAGAGCGCGAACCCATCGAAAGGTACCCCTACAACTCGCGCATATAAAAAAAACTGAGAACGCCTTTCCTTTCCCTGTATTTTACTCGTTATTCGGAAACTGTAACATATACGCGATGTAAATTTTCAGTTTTATTCCACAAGAATAGAAAAATTTAGTCAAGTCCTCCAAAAATTCCAGCCAAGCCATGTTTTAAAGACATCTTCAGCTCAAACAACTCTGTGGCACGTAGTGATTAATTGAATGAATAAAAATAATTTAATCTAAATATATATATTCAAAAAATGACGTAAGATCTTTTAAAAATGAATGGTTTTTGTGTGATTGTAAAGTGTTGAAAGAAAAATTTCAATATTAGACCGAAAAAATGACACAGTTTTATCAATAATAAAATATGGGGATTGACTTATTAAAAATATTCTACGCGATTCTTTAGAGAAAATAAGCCTATAGCCATCTTGCGTGGTAAAGCATAAAGGCATCAATCTTCGGAATCGCTCTCCGCCTCTTGTCTACTCAAAGGCCGCCTTCATGAAGTAATATGTTTTTTGGAGATGCTTTTAAAGGAATTTCACTTAAAGGGATCCGCGGGTGCTTTAGAAGAGCTAAAAATTAACAATTAATTTTTTTCTTTCAATTTTGTTAGGTTAAGTTTGAAATTATCATTCTTAAGCGCGTGCATGTTTAGCAGAGAGCTATAGTCTCTTAAAATTGTCTGTTCTTCCGTGACTGAAAATAAATGAAATGAAATCAAAACTTCAGCCATAATTACCGGAAATGTTAGGTGCTTTTATATGATACTTAGTTTACGTAATTATTTCTAGTCTTGCCAATTAACTCATTTCAATTTGTAATACATCATTCGTCAAATGTTTTGCAAAGCTCTTAGAGATTATATATATAGTCTTAACTCTTCGTTCGCAATGACAACCTGAAGATTTTTTAACTCGAGAATAAAATTGATGTCGAATTCTCTCTATCTCCATTAAATCTAGCTCAAAAGACAAAATGAGTTTGAGAAAAATCTCTCTCTCTCTCTCTCTCTCTTCTTCTTAAATTCAAATATTGCTTAGCGCTTCGCATTAGAATCAGTTGAATTTGCTCAAGAGGTCGTCTACAGTCACAAAAACTATATATAATAGAAGTGGGACGCACTGAGTTAAAGATTCTAGATTCAGCGATTACCTATGAAAGGAAGTTTAAAATACCCTCATACATCATGTCATATTTATGAAAAATTTTGCAAATAAATACATGCACGTTAGCGTGCGAGGTGCGTTCAAGGAAAAAAAGGTGAATTTTTTAATATTTCGCCAAAATCCATTTTGTCCTCTCAAAGTTATCGCCCTTAGATATAATACACTTGGGGCAAGGCTTTTTCAAATGCTCGAAGTAGATGCGAGATACGGCCTTTATCTTCTAACTACATCCTTTCATGGGTCTTTTCAGTTTTGGGAATAGGGAAGAGTAGCAGAGGGCCACTTCCGCTAGGTAAGATGACTGGTGCACGGTTGTGATGTTGTTTTTAGCCGAAAAAATATGACTGTTCTTTCGATTAAAATGCAGCAATTTCGGAACAAACTTCCTTGCTACACCTTCCATGTCCAAAACATTCGACAAAATTGCATGACTTGAGACAATCAATATACCGACATCCTCATCAAATTCTCTAATAGCGACTGTTGTCAATAATCATTTTCTTCACTTCTTCAACGTTTTCATTGGTTGTTGCCATGTTGTGGCGGACATCGTCATTAAAATCTTCTCGGCCTTCTCTAAAGAGCTTGTACAATTTATAAAATTTTTTTTTTTGCTCAAAGTAGACTCGCCAAATACGACAACCAATATTTTAAATGACTTAGATTCTTTGATTCATTTTTTTTTGATAGCAAAAAATCACCAAGCACACCAAGCCACGTCTAACCTCTATATCTTTCAAACAATTGAAAATGCAAAATGCCTGATAATGTAAGCATAACAAAAAAAAAAAAAAAATAAATAGAAATTTCGAAAGTCTGGCGATTGGGCCCTCTAGGGCTGGATAGGCCCGGGTGCGGTTGTGAAAGCGTTTTATTTGTGTCTCAAACTGATGATGATATTTATGCGCTTGGTAAGCGATCATTTTTGTTTGGATTTTGATCAACCCAAATATACTCGTCTATTTAAGTAATCAGTGCATATTATGGATTTGGTTGGCGGCGATAACTTCTTCATTAAGCGGGCCAAATGTTAGGTAATTGTCCCCTTTTTTATTGTTAAAAACGTTTAACCAAGTAAGTTGCCGCTTGCTAATAATGTTTAGCGAAGATACATGCTACGACCGACGCATATGGCGAAGCGACTTTAAATTTTCAAACTTTCATTGTCACAATCGATTTGCTATTAGCGACGAGAATATTGTCGCTTGTTCACAAGCCGTACATAAATTCACGACTCTTGTGCTATGATTATGTTCATTTTTAATACAAAGTTAGTAGGTATTGTCTACAATCTTTCATTGTCTGATGGTTGGTACTCGTACCAATTCCCGAAATAATAAAAGTTAAAAAGTTCTTCGTCTGATTGCCCCAAATCTCAAGAAAGCAATTTAGTTATACATCGAGCCGAGATTGGAAAAAGACCAGGACCCATAAATATGAATCAGAAATCCGATTAATTATATATATATATATCCATATACATATATTTTTAGCCGATGTAAGATTTAAAATCTCCATCGATTTAGGCCAATCTATCCATTCGTCTTTTTGGATATCGAAAATCCATTTTTTTTTTTTTAACAGATCTCGTGCATAGTTCAGCGGATTTATAATATTAAAAATGTATGTAAAAAATATCGCCACAAGGGTTGAGTTTGTCTCGCCATATCCGAATGATCTACCATTTCTTGCAATAGAAAAAATCTCTTGAACAAAGATTGTACGTCTAGAGAACGATTACGTAATTTAAATATATAACGATTATATATTTTAAATATATTCATAACAAATCGGCAGAAAGTTTAAGAATAGAATAAATCACTGCATATATTATTCCGAAAGATCTTGATTTGTACGGTCACTGTGTGTGTGTTCGCCAAAAAACTCAACCAAGATGATCGAATGAAACGCAGAAGTCAGCCCATACGGCTTTTTTTGGCATTTTTTTTGTCATTTTATCCCAAAATTAAATGATTCTGCGAGAAACGCCTCTTAAGGCAATTAAAAACTGGAAAGGAACTGTAAGCGAGGACGATGTAGAACAAATTGGACTCAATTAGAAAAATGTGCAGAGTATTGAGTTTAATGTTAATGTAATTGTATTTTTTGAAGGCAGCATAATGAAATTTCATAAACACATTCTTCCCAAATTTGTTCTTTCTAACAATTCCGGTTACTTTTTACACAGAGCATATATTCATCTGTAAATAAAATATACCTTATAATTAGCAAAATCTCTTAAAGACTAAAGCCGAATATAACTTTGTTCTCCCCGACCTTCCGTTTATCATGTAATCGAATAAGTGGGATTATCGTACTTGAAAATATCTAACTGTAAAGTATACGATGTAATAAATAGTCTTATGACTATTATAAACTTAACATATTGAACATTGTGCTCGTTTTATCAAATCTGATCGATTGGCATAAAACTAATGAAATTATTACGACAAAGTCATTTTTGTAACTTGGAAAAGCTGCAAAGCAATTTGAAATGTTCGAAATTGTTTAGTTCATTGGAATCTTTCACGATTTCATATTTACTTTATTAGTGTAGCAGATGAAGAGAAAACATCTTGTGTGCTTAGATAATATAATTGAAATAATTAAAATAATAATTTTTCAATAAAAATAATTTTTCTTTTTTTCCGTTTTTTTTTTTTTTGCGTTTAAAGATTTTTTGTTTTTTTTTTTTTTTTTTTTTTTTACATATAATTAATAGTAAGTTTAGTCTTTTTATAAATTTTAATTAGTTTACTTAATATTTGTGAATTTTTCCTGTTTTCTGTTTTTCATATCATTTTTTAACATTAGCTGCGATTGGTGGCGGCGAGTTTATGTATATTTTGGCATAATTTATTTATCTTCTTTTAGTTTTACTTTTTATATTTTTCATATAATTTGTTACTTAACACTTATTAATTATGCTAAACTTTGTTTTAATTGTTTTTTTTTTTTTTTTTTTTTTTGCTTAGTTCTTCCTTTTTATTTAACTTAACATTAATTGTAAAATATTTACAGAATTTATTAACTTAACAGTGCTTTAGTTAGGCTTTCATACGATTAATGTATAAATGTGTATACGTACTTATCTATTGTACGCACGTACGTACGTACGTACGTATAAATTTTTTTTTTTTTTTTTTTTTTTTTTAGTTGCATAACTATTATAATTTATTTATTATTATTATGTCACTTGTTTTTGTGGTGATATTTTAAATATGTATTACTTACAAAAGCATAAATAATTTGACTCTTTTCATAACTTGTTGCCGCATCAACGAAATAAATATATGTCCAGTAAATTGCTTTAATTGTAATTGCATTACGTTTAATGGAATGATTTGTGTTGTTTTGTTAATTGTTTCGTTTCTCTCATTAACATTTACGAATGTAACAGTTTTTTTCGGTTTTCAAAATGTTTTTATATATTATGTATGTAGTAGTAGGTATTTTTTATGTATAATGCAAAGCCTTGTTTTTCAATTTATATAAATTTTCTAAAAATTTTCATTTTGAAATTATATCAAAATTTTTTCATTTGTTTTTTTTTTTTTTGTTTATTTTCTTTCCCTTTTAAAATATTATCAAAACTTATAATAAATTAATTATAGCAATGTCTTGCAATTTGTTGCATATTAGTTGTTATGTTTTTGTGTTCTTGTGTTATTATGATTTTCAATATCATTTAGTTTGGTTTGATGTGGTTATGTAACATTATCTTCTTTTGCTAGGGATGATGATGGTGGTGGTGGTGGTGGTGGTGCTGATTTTGGTGGTTGTGGTGCATATAGTGTTACGAGACCGTAAGTGTATTCGTTGTCACGATCTACGTTAGTAATTCTTTGCTAATTTGCATTCCTATGGTAACGACATGATTTGCAGCATTTCTCCTGATAGCGGTACAAGCGGCACAAACCCATTGAGCGTACATTGCGACAATAACGTGAAGTATCCTTACATTGCTGAAGAGCTGCGAAGAAACGGAAGAAACAATTTTATGCATACACAATAAAAATGCAATTTTGTAATTAAACACCGGAAGTGTAATACGTTTGCCAACTGCTTATAACTGCATGCTGCATAACTGCATATATATATATTACAAACTTCAAACTCTATATACATTCTTGATCTTGTATGTTTGAAATGGCCTCATGTCAAAGTTTCCTTGAAATTAATTTTTTTTTTGTGAAGCGGTTACAGTGCTCTTAGTGACGCTACTTTTTTCGTATCTTCACAAACAATGGCAAAATGGCCAAATTTCTTAGCAAATATTCAAATGCGAAAATACAGTTCATAGTCTTGAGAAAAGTGATTATGTGGCAACTCTTCTTTGTCGAAGAGCATAATTTGTCAGTGAAGTGCTTGAATGAGATCATGTGCCCATAGCTGACGATAAATGCAATGAATGCTCAAAAGCAGTGGTTATAGCAGAAAGTCTTAGGAGATAATATACCCCATAGAGGTATTAAAATGCCACGTGATCATAAATCGTATCAAAACTCGGTGGGTGCAATGAAAAAATTGCATGAATTAAAGTTCGAATTGTTGCCATCATGTCCACCATTTTGTCCAGACCTGACCGCCAGCGACTGTTATCTGTTTGGACGCTGCTTCGTAGAAGAAGGTTTTTTTCAGTCAATCAAGTCATCATCAAAAAAAAAACGCACGGGCGGACGGATAAGCGTAGCGAAATAATAAAAGATGAATACATCCTTCTTGGATGTTGCATACGTACTTATAAAATTAATACCACAAACAGTGTACGGTAAAATAAGGCAAGGGAACTCGGAAGAAAAATCGGCGTACAAGTACACAAATGTGGGGAAAAAAAAACCCACAGCCAGCGTGGCTCGAAGCTGGTAGTGAGTGCATCAAACTTACGTAACTTGATAGCTTCCGTGTACGAAACCAAATAAACCAGCGAATATATTATATTAAGTTCATTAGCCAATCACGTCAAGCATTAAAGTTCGAGCTTTAATTTAGATACGATATCAATACAATGAATGATTCAATGTGTAAAAAGTAATCTTGTGTCTTTGAAAGCGATGCGAACAGAATGCGTAAAGAATGCATTCGTCATATTTAACTCATTGGCTAATACGTATCATGTAGTAACTCAGCCTCGGCTAAGTTGATAACTAAGGGTTAATTCTCTAAACTATATAATGAACGTAGTCAATCAAATGTTAGCGATCATTGAACGTCCTGGTCCGGCAAACAATATGCAAACCGCCATATCGTCAGATTACCCATATTTATTAAAACATTTATATATACATATACTTAACCCTTATCATTTCTAATGGCTAACATGGTTAACATATCCCGTTTAATAGTACTTGTCGACTTTCGAATAATTTTCACTGATTCACTCAGTAGCAAGATTTCTCTATCTGTAAGCTAAGCGCGTTTACTTAGTAACCTGTACGAACTAAACTGCATTTTCGCTCTTGAAAAGGTCAGTTAGTTACATACAAAACTACAAAATTTCTGAACAAACATTGAAGGCGATTTAACTCAGAGTAGTCTGAAGCCCTACATGCATGAAGATTTCTTTCATAAATAGCAGCAATTTTTCTTGCACAGTTTTTACAAACGAAAGTCCAACAAGCAGTAAGTTCCTTCTGTCTCCTTTGAAAGTTCTACCTAAATCTTCCTAACTCTTCATCGCTTACTTTGTTTGATAGCTTCAGTGATTTTAAATAAAATACTTAAATAAAACTCTTGAAGTAAAAATACATACTTTTGGTGTAGCATGGTGGGCTTCTGCAAACTTTCATGACTGCTGGACGTGGTTGATGTTTGCATGCGTTGCCTGCTGGCCGTCTAGTGCCATACCAAACACATTGCAATATACGATACTTAATACCCTGACGGCCACAAGGGGCATTGCACTGAAAATACATTAACGACAAACCAAAATATAAATGCAAAACAACAATAACTTTAACATAACATTTCACTAAAAAGAGAACCGGACGAACGTTAAGTCGGACCAGGTCAACCATTTAATACCCTACAATGCAAAAGTAAAAATTGCAGCGGTAAAAAATGAGCTCTTACATAATGTCGAGTCCAAAAGGTAAGCCTACGTGCGTCAAATTTGATTCACTAAATTTGTTGACCTTAAAGAATACTTCACTTAAACCCCAAAACAAACTGGGCCTTATCATATAAAGGATTAGCTCTCCCTTCCATGAGAGAATCTTCGAAAAATAGATCAGAGTGCAATCAATGTTTATAACCACAAACGTACATGTTACTTTATTCTACATCAATTTTCATTACAAAATAGCGAAAATTAGAATTTGTCGGCAAACAAAAATATATTTTCTATAAGAACATTCATGTGTAAGCCCCTTAGTGTTCCATATTTTATTCGAATTTTTCACATTCATTTAGTATATGAGTAAACAATTTTTTTTCACTGTCAAGAAATAGTAAAAATGCCAAATTCTTTTTTATATTTAAAGACCCCATCAAAATACGATGAGCGGGGGCTAAAGAAGCCCCTTGTAATCCATTTCCCATAGGATTCGTCCTTAGGTGAAATTTCGTGAAAATATCGTGAAGATTATAGCTTGGACAGGAGACATTAAAAAAGGGGACGTATGGACAGACAAAATCGACTATGGCAAACACCGCTCAAATGAACAAGTGCTGCAGATCGTAATAAATATTTCATTGCACACAATATTTGTAATTAAGGGCTTCTTCTTCCTAAAAATTAAAAAGCAACGTTTCCCCCCTCCCCATTCCCACGTAAAGCAATTATCGAAAATATTTCCCAAAATATTTCTTTAAGCAATATGCGTATGTAACAAACAGTACTTTACCTCTGACCAGGGCTCTACACGCCATACACCCTTGCAACGTTCGTTATAGCATTCTTGTCGGCTAATAGGTTTCTCGTATTCAGAGCAATTGGAAGTTATTGTGTCGTTGGCATAACGACATGAAACTTCTCGCTTTTGTATGGCAGTGTTGGGACCGAAACAACGTGATCTCTGGCACATAGTCCATTCGCCTTTTATCCAACGAGGACACTCGCTGTCAGTAGTGCATGTTTCAAAAGTATCTGGTATTGATAAACCATAGCCTATGCATAAAGAATTATCGACAACCTCGTGCTCTGTGTAATGATTAGTAGGTTCTGGTTGTGTTGGATCTTTTAAAAAATGTACACGTATGCAAGTTACTGCACGTCTCTGCAATAAGAAGGGAAAGGAAAAGAAAAGCAAAGCATAACCATAATTAAATTCCAACGTATTGATTGACCATGAGTTGATGAGCAAACATTTTTGGTTATTTAATGGTATAAACTTACTCGCAAACCCATGCCAGCGGCACCGCATTTTTGTGAACACTCGGACCAAGAACTCATTTGCCAACGGTACGTGACTGCATGTGCTACGTTTGCCTTTGACGTAGTATCACTCCAATGATTAGGCCAACGTGCATGAGGCAAATGCAATGTTGTCGTCGTCGCTATAGTTGTTTGCAAATCTTCTTTCAGTCCATTCTCATCATTTACATTCACATTTATAGATGTATTTTTTTCAACTGCCGTATTCGATTTATCCGCATCTATATCACTATAGGAGAGGGTGGGAGGCGAATTTGATATTACATTTTTGGTCACATATTGCGATACTGATTTGTCAGGCTCATCTTCCTGAGTGTTATACTGATGCAATTGCTGATCGAAATCGATGCCATACTCCAAGCCTTTGTCCACAAGCATATGATGGCCACGAGAATTGCTAAATTTCTGCAATGATGGCCATAAATACTGCAAATGACCGTTACGCGTACGTACACAAATAAAGAAATTATCCAAAAGGACCAAAAAGTAAAAAAAAGAGAAAAAAAAGAGAGAGAGAGAGAGAGACACAAAAAAAAAAATGAAAGAAAAATATGTTTATTGGCAAAATTTAACGGAAAAACACAAGGACATCTTTTTTTCTCTGCAATAAATGGCATATATCGGAATCGAGTATACTGCTGTACACATATGCACCTTTTTTCATTCACTTCAATAATGTAGCATTTAATATGAAAATCAAGCAAATGATGGACTTTCGTAGCAAAGGAAAAAAATTGAAAAAATTAAACGCTTGCAAAAGTTCTCTAACTGAAAGACGCATTACTTAATATAACTACGGTTTTGCGTGCTTAAAGAATTTTGACTGCCAAAATGATTATGAGAAAAGAGGTAAATGAGAAGTAAACAATTCTTGTAAGACTTACGAATTTATACTTAATACCAATGTGTAAGACATATAAGCGAAATAATTTAGAATTAAATTATTGCGGTATTAATGTTTTACGTTTTCATATGTATATATGGTTGTGTTAGTATTACTTAAAAACTTTCTTCTTATTCATGCCAAAAATAATTGTACTCTCTATTCCGACTTAAATAAATAAATAATAAAATATTATAGATAGTACATAAATGTCTTTTAGCTTTTAGAGATACGTAGAGGCGTAAATTTAAATCCGGAGGCTTAATGCATGGACGATTGCATGGTTATATACGTACATATGATTATCAACAAATTTTTTTCGTTCTATGCGATCATAGCATAAATACTAATATGGTCTGAGGATAATTTTGGTTTTATTTAATTTTGAGATGAAAAACTTGAAAACTTATTATTATATTTTCAGAGTAATGCAACAAGTTCTTAGACTAAAGAGAAAGCATTGACCTTTAGCGACTGTAGGCTGTTAGCTCTATTATTGATATTGGGATTTTGAGTCCAGTAGTTTTCATAGAATAACACAATAAATTGAGAGTGTAAGCTGATTGATTTTAGGATATCAAAAGATTCGTTGTACCGAATACGATTTTTGTGATAGGGAAAAAGTTTAGACAAAGAATGTGACTTATCATGAGAATTTGTTCACAATTGCGAATTGCAATGGAAAAGAAGAGTTCTTTAAGTTCCATTGGTGGATTGCAATGTTGTATGGAATAATTCAAGATTTAACACTAGAACTGCTGAGTAGGTTAATTTTGCCTTTTGCACGGTCTTCTCTTGACTGTTAGTTACTTGAAAATACCTTTAGACCCCTACAATACAGCAGTAAACCGCTTCTTGTTGAGATTTGGACGTTGCCATTATTTGTGCAATACGATACACAAATAGTGATACAGCGTACAGGTACAGGTGTTAAAACTTATTATGAAAACTGTGAACTCACGGTTACGCGCATGAGGAACGAACCTCACTATTTGGTTATATAACTTTGTAAATAAAAATTATTTTCCCTTTGGTGTAAGAAGGTACATCTGATGTTCCTTTTATGTAAATAGAAATATATTTTGGATGTGGTTTCTAACCTAAAAATATAACTTTTTCTGGGTATTAGAAGAACAAGTAGTTTTTACTCGAGTTCGGTTTTTCATGCTGTTGCTTAAGACGGATGCAAAAAGGCTTAAAAGAAGAAACAGGCGGCCATGGTTCAAGTAAAAATACTCTGCAACACTTCACTTAATACGGAAGTCGTCGAAGAATCACGATTCATCATTAAACGTCCTATTCCGTTTCGCTTGAAACGGTTGCTCGACTTTTCAAAACATGGGGTTACGTGGTCGAAAGAGTTCGAGTGAATCGCTTTCAAAAAGGCTCCTCCTTGGACCAAAACGGTTTGGGATACCAAATTGCAACGAAATACATGGACGGACATCAGGTGAACCAATAGCTATCCCGAAGGATTAGCTTCGAACCCCTTTCTGAGTCGATCGGTATAATAAGAGGTGAGTCAATGTCACGTCCCTCTGGTTGTAGTATACACCGACACAAGCTTAATAAATCCTTGTCTCGTAGGTAATGTAGCAACAATATGTTGTAGATAATTGTAGGAAAGCATTTATCAAGATGTATGTGCACTCCACATATATATTGAATTCTGTAATTTGAACTGATATGGTTGCCAAGGATTTGTACGAGAAAACGTTGCCTGGTCTTCTTTAATGTAGGGCAGTCACTACCGGCGCCGATCAAATTCGAAATCTACTTGACGCGCATTAAAGCAGGCAGCCTGCACTGTTTTACAAATGCTAGAAGCTATAAAGCATCTTAATGTTCGCGATACGAATTCACAAATATTCACCATCACATTATGCGAAGGTGCTACATAACAGGAGGACCCATAAGTAATCATCTATTTTGAGATTTAAAACAGATTTTGCAGTAAATTCAAGTTTTTATTCTTAATTTTTTATCTTATTATTATCCGTCAATGTCTTTCTCGCAAGTTTATAATTCTTCTCCCTCCTACCCTTTAAGGCTTGTGAAAGAGAAAGTGCTTTCTCGATAAGCTAGGGTTAGGCGTTGATATTGCTGTTTGATTTTCAGAAAGAAAGCTTGGAACGCCTTATTTTAACACAAAGATCCATTTTTCGTTTATGGTAACGATTCTGCTAAGGAAACGGACTTTAAGCAATCTGGAGAGCAAGGAATTGCAAATAAATCGACGAATATTCTTGTTGATCTCAGATAAACTAAACTTTTGTCTATAGGCGTTTTCATTTCCGCCTTTGTGCAGTTGACCGTGCGGATGCAAGGCTTCTCAATAATTCTTGTATATCCAATTTTGGATCAGCTTCCGCTAGGGAGTTTAGGATGTCATTATCAACCCACTTCGAGGTCTGTCAGAGAGATCAGAAACCTTCTGAATCAAGGCTCACACTTATTGAGGTTCAATACATGTTCATGAATTTCGCAAATTTTCGTTGTTGCTACAGTTGCATTCACTCCCCATGAAAATGAAACAAAATGCAACGTGACGAATATAATCCTCAGAAGGTGCGGACGCTGCTATTTTGAAAAAACTTTGTTTTTAGAATATTTTCTAAAGAGCCTACCCTATAAGACAATACGAGATTCTCCTTCAAAGCTTGGTATAAAACTGAAGGCAGAGCAAATTCTTTGCAAATAATTGATTATATATGGGTACACCTAATATATTCGATTTATAGGAAAACACGTTGAAGTGTGAGCACATTATACTCGTCGTTGCATTTTACTGTTTGATGGCAAAATCTCTGAACGATAGAGGGAAAGTATTCTATAAACCAATCAAGGTAGTTGAAGAGTTATTCTCGCATCACCGCTAGCAAAAAACAGTTTTATATGGACATCGATAAAGTGTTGAAAATGCGAATGCATTCAATGATTATAGTGGACCATGCGTGTATACATTTTTCATGGTTATGACAAGAGCATTGCCAATAGTGTCGTTCACTTTGCCATTTCAAACTGAAGTTTTACTCTCTTTCTTTGCATGCATTGTGTGACAATTATCGTTACACTGGCATGCGTAACGAATATGTTTATAAGTTTGTGTATTTTTATGTGGTGATTGTCATGTAATGTAGGTTACGTTAAGTCCTCTTTTGGGAACTAAGGATTTTCACCTGCATAATAGCAAAAAGGACAACGTTCCCACATTTGTAGAATGACTACATTTGTACAATAACTGTTTGTTTGTTTGTTTGTTTGTTTGTTTGTTTGTTTACTTGTTTTTGTTTGCTTTTATAACTATTGCATCGCATTAACAACGGAAAAAAAAAAGGAAAAGTACGTAGCCGTACTTTTGATAGGCATCTGCGAGGGGCAACAGTATTATCAGGAAAACTAATACCAATGTATTGAACAACGTACGCTTTGATATGCATACTGTGTGTTAGGATGTAAATGGAATACAACCGCCAGCGTGTTTTCCGTTCTCAATGCAAGCTGCCCGTATTGAACAGTATTCCCCCGCGATATTACGAACATTGTCAGTTACAAAGTTACAAAGTTAAATTTGAGTTTGTTGTTCCGTTCATTATAGAAACATCTTATGAAGTCAGCATCATGAACACATTGAAAGCTTTTAACAAATTCTCGCTGCTTTTTTTTTAGTTTTATATACACATCCAATATCTTGCCAAGTATAATGAGGATTAGCCTGTCTAGTGCTCTATGTGGCTGACGTGAAGATTGACAAGAATGATTTCTCTAATATTATTTAAAAACTGTCGGAAAATAGTAATTCTCGTTATCTGCTAAAACTGTCAAAAATTGCACTTTGAGTTTTGTCACGCGTGTCCATTGAATAGTACCATCCGCTTTGAATATACAGTGATTTTAGTTTCAGTCCTTTCATGTGTTTTTATTTATTTTATTTCTATTATTTAAGTATATAAATGCATATGCATATATGTACAGACATATTTTCTACAAAATTTTGTACATGTAAATGTGTATAAAATAGGACCGTATTTTAGTTCAATTGTGTTTAGTCAATCACTCTATACAAAATTTGTCTAATCGAATAGTTTTAGGTTCACAGACCAATTTAATTCCATTGTCCATTCAGGCACGCATTGATTTGTGAAGCCGGTGATATAAACGCTAATCGTTTCGCAAAGATGATCGTCCAGCTAGGTGTTATAAGCCTTCTAATACATTTATGTAAATTGTGCATATGTTTGGGTATAACATTTTCCAACAATATGCTGCGTATTTAACCATAATTGACAGATATTCGTCCGTGTATAGATAGTTCGCTATATTTCAAATCATATCAACACCGTACGGAAGCGGACGTAGAGACAACATGAAAAATTCATTACATTCAACAACAACAACTATAATAATATAAATGCTGCAGCAGCTGGTTGTCATTATCATGGCATTGTTCGAGGATTGAATGCTTCAATGCCTTATATCGTTAACAACGTTGCATACGTGCGTATAATATAATATATCTTGTACTTCAAACATGTGTTATATA